CTGCGCCAGGCCTTCCGGTCCTTCACTGCCTCCCTGAGTTTGCTCAGTTTCATGCTCATTCAGTTCAGCAGTACATCCTTAGTTTACAGGACTTATGTGTCCGAGATCTGGTCCAGGAAGCAAAGAGATTCCCTAGGCCCCAGTGAGGCCTAATCCCTAACTCTATGATTTCTAACATAGTAGTATTTTCTAGAAAAGAAACAGTCCATTCTATGGAGATACGTTTCAAAATTGTGGGGCTACATAAAGTATGACAAATACACTGTTCTGACCAGGCTCCTTTTTACTTTGGTGTTCATTTCTTTTTGAATAGATAATGTAATATCAGTTTTTATACTTAATGCAGTTGCGCTTGCATCATGGATCTGAGGTATCATCCTCTTTTAACTACTAATGTCACCTGCTCTAAGATGGCTTCAGATTCCTTCACTCAGAAGCCTTTTCTTCTCCACCTCTTGCTTACCTGCCCTGGCCACTGAGACTGAGTTGCTCCATGGGGAAAGGATCTCCCGTCCTGACACCACCGTCCAGGACAGACAACTGTATTCACCAGCGGTTCTTTCTTCAACTATGAGTTGATATTGCCCAGTTTTTGCATTGGTCCCATTCATTTCCTTAACATCCTTGACATCTTGTAGCCTTCCAGAATAAAATGTGTATCCTGCTACTTCCAGCCCTTCAGGAGCAGAACAGATCAGTCTCACCGGTTCCCCGTGGACGTAAACAGGCTGCTGGGGATCTAGAACAAGGGTTGGAGCAGGTGGGGGATCTGGAGGTTTACGGAAGAAGGAGAGAAAAGGGTAAATGAGGGCGGGAATAAATAACATAAAGGACCCTTGTACGATATAATAGAAGAGTAACTATGAAGTATTTGTGTTCTCTGTGTACAGAACAAAAGAACCTCAGTTGTCTTTTTCAGCATGTATGTATTTTTTGAGAAAACCCCTGAAGAGTTCCCATCTTTTAGCTGCTTCACACTGGGCATGTTTCCTAACAATGTGCACAAACAGAAGCTTAAACATAACAGCCTGAGAATCTTCTGCCTCCCTTGAGGAGCTACAAGGGTTAGCTTTTTGTGACTCTGCAGAGAATCCTGTATTGGAATTCATTTGGTGGTTCCCTGGAAAAAAGCCACCTGATGGGCAATTGATTGGCGCTCCCGACATGCCCTGGACATGCCTTTGTGGTTAAAGAAACCCAATTTGGCTCCAAACTGTTCTCAGCAGCTAGAAGGTAAAGTGTCATAGGAAGCAAACTTCCTGGCAGATCCAAAGACAAACCTATCCCCCACAATTAATTTGGCAATTTATATTGAAGACCTCTCAATATCTTTTTTTTAAGTTTGTATTTGTTTTCACTGTTGTATTACAATCTTTAATAAAATTACTATGAAAAGAAAAAAAAATATTATTGGGAAGAAGTTTGCCAAAGCC